GTTTGCTTAGGTACAGGGTCTCACTACTCAGCACAGACTCCATAATGATCCTCCTATTTTAAGGCTCACCTGCACTGGGATTACAGGCTTGTGCCACCATGCCTGGTCTCAGCATGGCATGTGGTGCCAGGGATTGAACCCTGGTCCCTGTGCTTACCTAAGCAGGCACTTAGTCTGCTGAGCTATCTCACTGGCCCCCCAAAAAATGTTTCTTAAAAGGAGACATCAAGGGCTAAAGATGACCACTGTGGGTCCGTAAGAGGCCACAGACTTGTGGAAGAACCATTGTGCAAGGCTGGAGGACTTCCTGCAGGGCTCCTTGTGGCATGGGAGAGTGATAAGGAGTTTGAATCCTTTTTCTAGGCCAAGGATGAGGACAACAGTCTCCCTATGTTGCCCAGTCTACCCTTGAGCCTTCAACCCTCCTGGCTCAGCCTCCTTCTAGCTGGTATTACAGGCAGGTGCCAGCTCACTGGCTTTTTCTTTGGACCTTAAATGTCCCGGAGGACACGGGGTTTGGTCCCCAGCCGCAATCAGGAAGCAGTGAAACCTTTAGGAGGCTGGATGTCCTATAGAAGTTAGGTGGTTGGTTGGAGGTGTCCCTGGAAGGGGACATTAGGACCTCAGCTGCTTCCTGTCTTGGTCTTCACTTCCTGGCTGCCCTGAGATGAACAGCCTCGCTGCTCTGTGCTCCCACCATGAGGGAATCTGCCCTTGAGGCAACATGGCCAAACTTCCCGCCTGACCTCTGAGGCCAGGATCCTCTCCATTATTTTCCACAGCTGGGAATAGCTGTCCCCATGCCTGGGTCCAGGGACTTCCAGAGCATGAGTGGTGTTACAGCAGTTAAGAGGGAGGTTCTGGCTGGAGATGGAAGCACATGAGTGAGGAAAGGGTAAACTAAGGCACAGGAGGCAAGAACATCTTAGTGGTACCTGGGAGTCAGTGTGAATGGCTGGGAGAAGCTGAGATTATGGGTGAGAATCATGCATTTGTGTCCTTGGGAGTCATTGGAAGGCATAGTCCCAATCTGAAAATGAGCTAAGTCCCATTGAGCAGGGAACTCCTGAAAGAAGCCAGAGCATAGTTTGCCTGAGGAAGCAATTAGCTCGCTGCTTCATTTTCAAAGGCAAAATAAAATAAAATAGAACTTAGGAAACTGCTTGTGGTTTTGACCATAATGGGGTTATGAAAGTATTTTGGGCTGGACGTGATGTTGCACAGCTGTGATCCCAGCACTTGCGAAGCTGGGGCAGAAGGCTCATTGTGAGTTCAAGGGCAGCCTGGGCTACGTAGCCAGATGGTCACAATGCCAAAACTGCTGGGAAATATAACAGCGAACACAGGACTTTTTTAAATTCCTGTGGACTGGACAGTGGGCTTGTGCACTTGTCTATGGTTAGGGGTTGCAGTGTGGGAAGTCGGGGGGCAGCACTTGTGTTTGCTGCGATGCATTGGTTGCTTCAGGAGTGGCTGGGGACCAGCAAAGATGTCCATGTAATGTGCTTAGGATGGTGGCTGACATGTAGTAGGATTCAACATAGATGAGCCACACGGTCAGGGTCATTATGACCTTCAAAGCAGGCAGGACGAAAGACCCGCTCCACTGCTGCAGGGACCAGCGGGAGCTGTTGACCGAGCAGATCAGTGCCACAGAGAGTGAACTACAAATCGGCTTCACAGTGAGTAAATTTGCAAAATGTCAGGGCAAACTGAGAAAGATAGTTGTAGATGTACAAAGCAAAGGAACAGCCAGGCATGGTGGCGTACACCTGTGATCCCAGCCCACTGGGAGGCTGAGGCCAAGAAGGATCACAAGCCCCTCCTGGGCAACTCAGTGACTTAGCACGACCCTGTCTCAAAATAAAGCCTAAAAAAGACCGGGGATGTAGTGTGGTGCAAAGGCCCTGGATTCAGTTTCCAGTACTGGGAAGAAAGAGAAAGCACAGCGCAGGGCCTTCCTTATTCTTTCTTTTCTCTCCAGTAGTTGCCAAGATAGAGAGCAGGCCCTTCCCTCCCTTTGGAGCTCCCCACAGCCCCCCGGGTGATTCACGTGCGCTCTGGGCTGCAGGTTGGAACTCGCAGCTCTGGCTCCTCTCTCACCTATGGGGAAGATTTTCCTTGGCACTAAGAAGCCTCTCTTTTCACTTTCGCAGCAGAAGTCACACGAGTAGGTGGACCGAGAAAGAACGCCCTGCAGGGGTTTCCCCTATTGTTCCCAGGACAGCTGCTATCATTTTCTTCCAACTGAATGTTTCCAGGTCCACTGAAAGGGGTTTGGAACTTTAGAGAAAGTCCTGTCTCTTCCCCATTGCTTCACACCTACAACTCCACAGGGGCTTTCTCTCTGAAGTTTTCGGCTTGAATGCAATGTTCTCATAGAAACCATTTCTCCCCCCCTTTTTTTTCTGCCTTATCTTAGCATGCTGGGAGGCTGAGGCAGGGGGATCGCAAGTTGGAGTCCAACCTGAACAATTTAGCAACTCTGTGAGACCTTGTCTCTAAAATAAAAAATAAAATGGAGCTAGAGATGTAGCTTAGTGAGAAGGGCCTGAGTAAAATTCCCAGTACTGAAAAAAGAAAAAGATTAAGTGAGCACTTGCTTAGCATGCACATGGGTCTGGGTTTGATCCCTAATGCTACAAAAACAAAACAGCAGCACAACAAAACTCAAGCCAGACTACCCAACATTGGTCAAAAAAATTTCTTTAACACTCAATAAAAGCAAAAGTATAGGAGAGAGCTTTTATTCATAAAGCCAAGAATTTCATACAGTAAAAGGATACTATCTCTTTTGAAAAGGGATAGATGATAGCAACTGTTATGCATATACTTAAAAAATAATCTATTTGGTTATACACATAGCCCTGGCCATCTTAAGTTGATTTTCTTTTCTTTTTTTTAAAGTTGATTTTCTTGGTGTGTTTACTGGGCTGTGAAAGATCTAAGGACCTTCTTCTACCCCCTTTCTTGATACCAGGACAAGATCCCCAGTACCTGTAACTCAAAAGGACAGATCTGCCTGGCTTACAGTTTCAGGAGTCTCAGGCCATGGTCAGCTGGCTCCAGAGTAGGGGTAGCATGGCAGGGGAGCCTGGCAGAGGACGAGGTGCTCCACTCTGGCCACCAGAGAGCAGAGAGTGGACAGAGCCAGGGAGAAGAGTGTGCCCTTCAGCTCACGCCCCAGAGGCCCACCTTCAACCAGCTATCACCTCAGCACACTCAGCCATGAACTCATGGATAGATGAGTCCACTGGTACGTAGAGTGCCCCTTGGGCCCATCACCTTCCACATACGCAAGGCTTCCGGGGATATTCTAGATCTCAGCTATAGCAGACTTCTTTCACTAAACTACATTTGCTCAAGCTGAGTAGGCCCTCCAGCAGCTCAGGAAGCAATTCTAAACCAAGTAATAGAAAAGTAATAGTCACGGGGAAGGACTTTTTCTGGAGGTAGGGTCTCACTAGGTAGTTCAGGCTAGCCTTGAACTCACTTTGTAGCCCGGGCTGGCCTCGAACTGATAGTGATTCTCCTGCCTCAGCCTCCCGAGTGCTGGGATTGCAGGTGTGCACCACCACACCCAGCCAGGGGTCAGCCATGTTGCAGCACTTTCCAGAATGTTTTAATTTTTTACTTTTTAAAACTGCTTTTTTGAAGCAGGAAGATCATCCTGAGTTTGAGGCCAGCTTGAATTACATAGTGAGACTCTGTCTAAAAAAAAAAAAAAAAATTATTCAATTTCTCAGAACAACTCTGTCTTTTGTACTGGGGATCTTAAAATAACAGGCTTGTTGGCAGAAGAACAACTCTCCTGGTTCTCTGTACTCACTCACCTATAAAATGGTTCTGAAGTCTACAAAGCCATTTAAACCACTGAGTCCTGGCCCCCCCTCAAGGGCCAGGCACAGGGGCGGTGAGGCTGCCTGGAGATACTCGCTGCCTTCTGCTATTCAGTCCCAACCCTCTATTTCCAATACTTGCCATAGGCCCCGTACTGCATGCCCCAGAATGACCCTCACGTGCTGGCCTGTGATGCAGCCACAGTAAAGGCTCGCTGGATCTCTACAGAGTATGTCATTCGTGCAAGTAATTCTTTTTTTTTTTTTTTTTTTTTGGTGCTGGCAAGCACTGTAGCACTGAACTATATCCCCAGCCAATCAATGTTCGGGTTTTAAAAAGCACCTATTTGTTCCCCCTGTCCCCAACCCACCATTCAAAAAGCACCTATTTGAACCCATGTGTGTGCGTGCCCACCCAGATCCCAGCAGCTTGGCAGGCTAAGGCGGTAGGATGGCAAGTTGGAGTCCAGCCTGGGTAACTTAATCTTATATCCAGTACCTGTCTCAAAATAAAAATTTCTATGCGGGGTGTGGTGGCGCATGCCTGTAATCCCAGCACTGGGGAGGCTGAGGCAGGAAAGATCTCTGAGTTTGAGACCAGTTTGTGCTACATAGTGAGTTCAAGCCCAGCTTGAACGGCAGAGTGAGACCCTGTCTCAAAAAACAAAGTTTTTAAAAGAGCCGGAGATATAGCTCAGTGAAAAGGTCCTGGGTTTGGTCCCCAGTACGGGGAGCGGGGGACGGGAGGTATCATTATTTCTCCATTTTACATTTGAAAAGGGCCGCACCAAGAGGTAGTAACTCGCTCAGGGTCGCGCGGCCGGGACTACCGAGGTAGTGCGTTGAACGCGGGGTGCTTCCGTGGTCCCAGGTCCGGTCCCAGAGGAGAAGGACGCGGGCTAGAGCCGAGGTCCTGCCTGGACCGAGGTTAACCCGGGGCGCCGCGAGCGCCCCCTCCGGCGTCCCTGGGAGGTTCACAGCAGCCTCAGCAGCCCAGGACAGGCGGGAGCGTGCGACACTCCGACAACTTTCCTCCGGGACCCCGCCGCCCCGCCCCCACCCCGTCCGGGACCCTCGGGCACTACAGCTCCCGGCGTGCCTTGGGGCGCGAGGCCCCGCCCCGCCCCGCCCCGCCCCCTCCCGCCGGGTCAGCTCCACAGAGTCGCCCGGTGGCCGCAGCAGACGGAAGCGGAGCGCGAACCCGGGCGGCGGCCGCAGGATGGGGGACTCCAAAGTAAAAGTGGCTGTGCGGGTCCGGCCCATGAACCGAAGAGGTGAGAGCGCGGCCGCCGCGCCGCCGAGGGGGAGGCGGCAGGTGCCCGGCGCGCGTCGCCCGCGCGGTGAGG